AAAAAAAAAAAAAATGTAACGTAATATATTTTTTAAATAGCTTTAAAATTGAAATGACTAAAGTAAGAGGATTTTAAAGTGGATTTTAATGTAATTATACGTCATTTTTTTATTTATTTTTGAAACAAGAGAATGTCTGCCATATTTTTATATAAATATAGACAAATTGATATCCATAGAATTTATTATATTCTCATATGATCGATTGTTCATTGTATACACGTTTTACAATTTTATTACTTTTTTTGAATCACCCTGTATAAGTTTACAGGAGAATAATGTTAAAGATAACTTGTAAAATCACTTTTCTCTTATGAGAATTTAAAATAGTGAAAGAAAATGCCCGCATCAGTATGCAAAATTTGAGTCGGTGGCTTACTTTATTCTCTCAATAATCCTTAGTTTGTTCTTTATAGGGAATTTTATAGTTTAAACTATGGTTAAAATATCAAAAGTTACTTCTTTTGAGTCATTTTAAGAGCATTTAATAGAATTTAAATATCGAAGTAGATGCGCTTTAACGTTTTATATTCAAGTGTCCGCCGTTATCTCTTGTTATTTGTACAGGTTTCTTAATTGAAGATAAAAGTCTACTAACAAAAAAAATAAAATAAAATAAAATAAAAATAGCTAAATTTACATACTCTTTTATCAGAAATCGCTTTGATCTTCTTAAAATTCAGTTTAAAATAAAGAAAATGAACATTTTAAAGCATAAAAAAACAGCAAGAATTGTTGATGCAATTTTTAAACTTAAGATAAAATTTTCTAAAACAATTTTTAATTTGATGAAAAAAAAAATTGAATTTGTAATACAACATCTCGAAAATGCAATTATTATTATTTTTTTCTATCTTTCTTCCTTTTTCTTTAAGGTAAAAGAAGAAGAAGAAGAAAAAAAAAATTAAATAAAAATAACTCTTTTTTTTGAAATTAAGATGTTTCAACCTTCAAGATTGTTTAAATTTTTCTTTGCATTTTATAGGTTTATTTATTATGCATATGTAAGATCACTTTCAAAAATGTTTCATTATCTGTTCGAGTTGTGCAATTTGTTATTCAAAACGTGAAGAAATGTTGCATATCATTCTAATCCTTTGTGGTTTGAGTGTTCAACGTGATAGCACATCCGCCTTCATCAATCTTTCCTCTCTTGATGACAAGCTTTCACGTTGAAATTCGACGCACTTTGCGGTTTTAAGACATGTCAAGCAGCAAAAATCTTTCAAGAAAAAAAAAAAGAGAGAAAGAAAGAAAAAAAAAGAAATATAGATAATACATTTTTATACATTTTTACAAAAAAAAATTCCTCGACTAAATCCATAAAAACTACGAAGAAATGTAATTTTACGTATCATCTTCTTACATCTAAATTCATCTTCGTGTTCCTGTACTGAATCTACTTAGTAACAAAGAAAAAAATTAAAGCAATTTGTGAATAAAATATTAATTAAAAATTATAATTTTATAAATTAAACGTATGGTTTTTATGATTTTTAGAAGAATGGACATAATTGCGATCCATCAAATCACTTCATTTTAATATAAATTTCTGAAGTGTATAACGAGCTTAAGACATCATTATAATATATAATTCTGCTTAAATTGATAAATTAGAAAGTGTAAAAAATCTATAGAAACTTAAATGAAAGGATTACGTTTGCATTTACAACATTTACAAGAGCTTAAACTATTTAAGAACTGTACTAGAGTTTAACGATGCATAAGTTAAACATTAAAAAAAAAGTTATTTTAATAAGTAGTANGAGTCGGTGGCTTACTTTATTCTCTCAATAATCCTTAGTTTGTTCTTTATAGGGAATTTTATAGTTTAAACTATGGTTAAAATATCAAAAGTTACTTCTTTTGAGTCATTTTAAGAGCATTTAATAGAATTTAAATATCGAAGTAGATGCGCTTTAACGTTTTATATTCAAGTGTCCGCCGTTATCTCTTGTTATTTGTACAGGTTTCTTAATTGAAGATAAAAGTCTACTAACAAAAAAAATAAAATAAAATAAAATAAAAATAGCTAAATTTACATACTCTTTTATCAGAAATCGCTTTGATCTTCTTAAAATTCAGTTTAAAATAAAGAAAATGAACATTTTAAAGCATAAAAAAACAGCAAGAATTGTTGATGCAATTTTTAAACTTAAGATAAAATTTTCTAAAACAATTTTTAATTTGATGAAAAAAAAAATTGAATTTGTAATACAACATCTCGAAAATGCAATTATTATTATTTTTTTCTATCTTTCTTCCTTTTTCTTTAAGGTAAAAGAAGAAGAAGAAGAAAAAAAAAATTAAATAAAAATAACTCTTTTTTTTGAAATTAAGATGTTTCAACCTTCAAGATTGTTTAAATTTTTCTTTGCATTTTATAGGTTTATTTATTATGCATATGTAAGATCACTTTCAAAAATGTTTCATTATCTGTTCGAGTTGTGCAATTTGTTATTCAAAACGTGAAGAAATGTTGCATATCATTCTAATCCTTTGTGGTTTGAGTGTTCAACGTGATAGCACATCCGCCTTCATCAATCTTTCCTCTCTTGATGACAAGCTTTCACGTTGAAATTCGACGCACTTTGCGGTTTTAAGACATGTCAAGCAGCAAAAATCTTTCAAGAAAAAAAAAAGAGAGAGAAAGAGAGAAAAAAAAAGAAATATAGATAACTTTATACATTTTTACAAAAAAAAAATTCCTCGACTAAATCCATAAAAACTACGAAGAAATGTAATTTTACGTATCATCTTCTTACATCTAAATTCATCTTCGTGTTCCTGTACTGAATCTACTTAGTAACAAAGAAAAAAATTAAAGCAATTTGTGAATAAAATATTAATTAAAAATTATAATTTTATAAATTAAACGTATGGTTTTTATGATTTTTAGAAGAATGGACATAATTGCGATCCATCAAATCACTTCATTTTAATATAAATTTCTGAAGTGTATAACGAGCTTAAGACATCATTATAATATATAATTCTGCTTAAATTGATAAATTAGAAAGTGTAAAAAATCTATAGAAACTTAAATGAAAGGATTACGTTTGCATTTACAACATTTACAAGAGCTTAAACTATTTAAGAACTGTACTAGAGTTTAACGATGCATAAGTTAAACATTAAAAAAAAAGTTATTTTAATAAGTAGTATATTAATTATGGAATATTTTACACGTATTTTATGGAAATTTTCTTTAATAAAAGTAATTTATTCCAATATTAAATAGAAATAAAAATAAGTTTATTATTATTTTACCATAAGAAGTACGAAGAATATTTGCTGTAAAAATGTTCATTTTTATACTAAATTTTGGCCATTTTCGATGGCCCATTATGTATTTTTTTAATAATTATTAATTCTATAACTTTTAAACCGTAAATTCATTTAAAATTTTCGAGAATTTATTGCTTTTTTTTCTAAAATTTGTAGATATTATATTGGTTCTTCGATCCATACATGCGAATGCTTACCAAATTTTGAAGGAGAACAATGCGAAAAGAGAAAAGACATTGCCAAATGTAAGTCGTCTAATTTACTAATTATATAATAAAATTTATAAATAAATATAATTTATTTTTTACTTTATCATAATATACTAGAAAAATCTATATTTATAAAGTGGTATTTGATAAAAGATGCATCAAGAGCAAAGGGATTACCACTTTCCAAGTGGCATTTTAATGTAAAAATTATTAAAAAAATATACCATTTAAATTGATATTTGTTGATTTTCTTCGATTGTCGTTCACAATTAAAGTTTTATTTTCTTTTTTTCTTAAATTTAATACAAAGTTTTTAATTGATTTTAGTCGTTTTTAAAGGAAAGAATTGCTGAAGAATTTTCCAATAATTTTTTTGTTTTTTCCTATAGGAATGAGTCGTTACAATGTTCTCGATCATGTCAAAAATAATGATTAATCGCTTGATATGAAACGAATTTTCATGTAACGTTTGTATTAAGTCTATCAATTTATCTATAAAATTAACTTTTATTTGTTTTGATACTCATTTTTAGACTCGACGTTCTTCGATTTTCTTTTCTTATTTATTTATTTTTCTCGTATTTTTGCATTCATTTTTCATTAAAAATAACTACGTCTAGATCAAGAAATCAAGTAAAAAGAAGGAAAAAAAATTAAGTAATTTCCAATTCTGATGATGGATACATCATTTTAGATTCAAAGATGTTATCAAGAGTAGAAAGACAGTAATCAATTATCGATTTTTGTCTTCATTATAAGCCGTATCAAGTTAAATGATTTTTGAATGAAAGTATTTGATATTCAAGTAATTATAGGTTATAAACTTAGTTTATTTAATAAAATACTTCAAGATTAATTTATAAAAGATGGGAAGATATATTAAAATTATATTTAATTTTTAAATTTCGTATAATATTTTGTGGTAATCTGGAGGAAAGTCTTTTATCGTGTACGCGATTTGAATATAAAATCTCGAGTTCTACATTTGAAAGAGAAGTCTTTATTCGCTCCTTTCTTGGAATATAAATGATTATCTTTTAATCACTAAAAGTTTTAATTCGATTTTAAAATCTTCATTCACTCCAAATGTTCTTAAGACACGTGAGAAAGATCTTACAAAGTATCTTTTCATAAGCTTATATGAAGCTTATCATCGTCCTTAAATCATCATCATTCTTCATTCATTTTCCTTTCTTGTATAAGAATGAAGATTGCTAAAGATTTGCATCTCATCGTATTCATAATTACTATTACTGTATTATGTAAAAAAAAAATGTAACGTAATATATTTTTTAAATAGCTTTAAAATTGAAATGACTAAAGTAAGAGGATTTTAAAGTGGATTTTAATGTAATTATACGTCATTTTTTTATTTATTTTTGAAACAAGAGAATGTCTGCCATATTTTTATATAAATATAGACAAATTGATATCCATAGAATTTATTATATTCTCATATGATCGATTGTTCATTGTATACACGTTTTACAATTTTATTACTTTTTTTGAATCACCCTGTATAAGTTTACAGGAGAATAATGTTAAAGATAACTTGTAAAATCACTTTTCTCTTATGAGAATTTAAAATAGTGAAAGAAAATGCCCGCATCAGTATGCAAAATTTGAGTCGGTGGCTTACTTTATTCTCTCAATAATCCTTAGTTTGTTCTTTATAGGGAATTTTATAGTTTAAACTATGGTTAAAATATCAAAAGTTACTTCTTTTGAGTCATTTTAAGAGCATTTAATAGAATTTAAATATCGAAGTAGATGCGCTTTAACGTTTTATATTCAAGTGTCCGCCGTTATCTCTTGTTATTTGTACAGGTTTCTTAATTGAAGATAAAAGTCTACTAACAAAAAAAATAAAATAANTTGACTGGATGCTGTGGAGCAATTCTCTCTCTCTCTCTTACTTATAAATTTTAATATTAAACTTAAATATTTATAAATGAAATAAAATCTTATTAATATCGATTCATTCGCTATTAACTGAATTAATTTTTATGTTTTTAATTGATTTATTTTATATCATATTTAAAAATATAATACAGTATATAATCAAGAGGAAACATTACAGACTTTATAACAGTTAATTAATTATAATATTAGATGCTGTTTCAGAATAATTTTATATTAATAATAATAATTATTTTTTTTTATAAACCATAACATTGTAGGTAAAACAAGGTTCCTCATAGGTTTTAAAATTTCCGATAAGAATAAGGATTATTTACAAGTGGCTGACAAGCAACTAAAGAAAGAAATTGAAAATGCAGTGAGTACTAACCTGTGAGTTCTAAAAAACATAGATAATGGTACAGTATTTATTAATAACCCATAAACACTTTCGTATTCTAAATATATATATAAATATATATGCTTTATGATTATGGCGAGGTGGAAAAAAAAATGTTATACAGTCGACCCCCTATAAGACTGTAGATAATTCCGTTTTATATGAATTTCATGTTGTACGAGTCACTTAGATTTTACAAATTCGTGTGCCGAGCTGTGAACGGCTCATGTATTTGTAAAATCTAAGTGACTCGTACAACATGGAATTCATATAAAACGGAATTATCAACAGTGTTATAGGGGGTCGACTGGTATTTCAATATTATTGCATTTTAATTAAATAAGTTCAATATTTAAAATATTCAATACAGAGAAAATAATATTAAGAAATGAATCCTGTTTAATTTTAATTGTTTTTTATGATTACAAAAATGAAACCTCTCGTTAACCAATTCTTTCGACTTATTTCTTAAGCCATTTTACACCTCTGTTTACCCATCAATTCAAACAAATCATCAATTTTTATGCCAATTCCTGAAAAGTAATCGATTCTGGAATTCATTTTCTCATTACTCCACATGCACTGAGTGCGTGTAGAATTATGAAACATGCACTCAGTGCATGTGGAGTAATGAAAAATGATGAATGCAATTCCTCAAGTCGGATGCCGCTGCCAATTATAGACGTTCTTAAATAGTCTATTATTAAAATCTTCGATCACGCCATCGATGAATGGAGTTTTTTGGGGTTTTCTTCGCGTGTCTTGTTTCCATTGACATTTGTAAAATTTGAGCACAATAAACAACTTTTGATGTAAAGACACTGTTTTACTTCTTCACATATTATGTCTTATCCGCCCCTATCCCGTGTACAGTAGTACCCACACAATCCATTAGCAGGACTGTAAATTTTGTCTTCTTTGGTGTAGTCTCAATTCATCCTTGTTGCTGAGTCCAGCGTTTCGGACTTTTTCACCTGGACTTGGCATTCTTTTCTTCCGACGAACACGCTTTTGAGGTTCCAAATCGATTTTGAGCTCAGTACACTTCTCTTCCACAAACTTTAGATCGCCATCGATGACTTCGTTCCTATTATCTGTCAGAAACTTGATCAACGCCCTCAACTTTTGAGCACAATCCCGTAAATTTAGTCCCTTTTTCTGTAAGTAGCAGAGAGTATCGTTGATTTCAACCAAAATTGGCGCCCAAAAACCAAGAAATGCGATGAATGTGAACGACCGCACGGCGAACAAAACTAATCCTGCATCTGATCTTATGTTGGTATTTTCGTCAGTACCAGTCAGTTGTTCCAAAACATCCAATATCTCACCGAAAATACAGCTTCACCGCTTTAACAACATATCCTCTGGCACTCCAAGCGATGCGTTGAGGTAGAAAAGAATGTGTACAAACGTTCAAGAGTCACGAAGAAAGTTATTGAATTAACTTCAGCATGAACGGCATGAAGACCGGCCAAGTTCAGACTATGCAACAAACTTGGCCTTCGGATTAATTTCGGAAATGCGTTTTTGGACGCCATTGTACTTTCAGGAATAGTTCATCTTGCTCTTGACCTAACGTTTCGCTTCCAGCTACAAACTGATTGATATTAAACATAAGCACCATATTGAACTTTAGAACCCGGCAGCATATAAATTGATAGTGAATTGGGTAATAATATGACAGAATTTGCTTTAAGGCCACAATCGAAGACATTTATACTAATGAGAAAATGGTTTATAGTTTCCCTATTGCACAAGTATCATCTCATTTTGTCCTATACACACGTAGAAAATCATTGAATCTCCCAGAAAGGAAATAATAGAAAATCAATAAATTTCTTTTATATTTATTGATTTTCGATTATTTTTTGGTTCAGATTCAATAAAGTTCTTTTTTTCTTTCTGTTTCTTTCTCATATTTCCATTTAAAAAAAGAAAAATCATAGCATATGTTACTTAATGGTTTGACTGGATGCTGTGGAGCAATTCTCTCTCTCTCTTTCACCCTCCCCATAGTNATAAATTTTAATATTAAACTTAAATATTTATAAATGAAATAAAATCTTATTAATATCGATTCATTCGCTATTAACTGAATTAATTTTTATGTTTTTAATTGATTTATTTTATATCATATTTAAAAATATAATACAGTATATAATCAAGAGGAAACATTACAGACTTTATAACAGTTAATTAATTATAATATTAGATGCTGTTTCAGAATAATTTTATATTAATAATAATAATTATTTTTTTTTATAAACCATAACATTGTAGGTAAAACAAGGTTCCTCATAGGTTTTAAAATTTCCGATAAGAATAAGGATTATTTACAAGTGGCTGACAAGCAACTAAAGAAAGAAATTGAAAATGCAGTGAGTACTAACCTGTGAGTTCTAAAAAACATAGATAATGGTACAGTATTTATTAATAACCCATAAACACTTTCGTATTCTAAATATATATATAAATATATATGCTTTATGATTATGGCGAGGTGGAAAAAAAAATGTTATACAGTCGACCCCCTATAAGACTGTAGATAATTCCGTTTTATATGAATTTCATGTTGTACGAGTCACTTAGATTTTACAAATTCGTGTGCCGAGCTGTGAACGGCTCATGTATTTGTAAAATCTAAGTGACTCGTACAACATGGAATTCATATAAAACGGAATTATCAACAGTGTTATAGGGGGTCGACTGGTATTTCAATATTATTGCATTTTAATTAAATAAGTTCAATATTTAAAATATTCAATACAGAGAAAATAATATTAAGAAATGAATCCTGTTTAATTTTAATTGTTTTTTATGATTACAAAAATGAAACCTCTCGTTAACCAATTCTTTCGACTTATTTCTTAAGCCATTTTACACCTCTGTTTACCCATCAATTCAAACAAATCATCAATTTTTATGCCAATTCCTGAAAAGTAATCGATTCTGGAATTCATTTTCTCATTACTCCACATGCACTGAGTGCGTGTAGAATTATGAAACATGCACTCAGTGCATGTGGAGTAATGAAAAATGATGAATGCAATTCCTCAAGTCGGATGCCGCTGCCAATTATAGACGTTCTTAAATAGTCTATTATTAAAATCTTCGATCACGCCATCGATGAATGGAGTTTTTTGGGGTTTTCTTCGCGTGTCTTGTTTCCATTGACATTTGTAAAATTTGAGCACAATAAACAACTTTTGATGTAAAGACACTGTTTTACTTCTTCACATATTATGTCTTATCCGCCCCTATCCCGTGTACAGTAGTACCCACACAATCCATTAGCAGGACTGTAAATTTTGTCTTCTTTGGTGTAGTCTCAATTCATCCTTGTTGCTGAGTCCAGCGTTTCGGACTTTTTCACCTGGACTTGGCATTCTTTTCTTCCGACGAACACGCTTTTGAGGTTCCAAATCGATTTTGAGCTCAGTACACTTCTCTTCCACAAACTTTAGACCGCCATCGATGACTTCGTTCCTATTATCTGTCAGAAACTTGATCAACGCCCTCAACTTTTGAGCACAATCCCGTAAATTTAGTCCCTTTTTCTGTAAGTAGCAGAGAGTATCGTTGATTTCAACCAAAATTGGCGCCCAAAAACCAAGAAATGCGATGAATGTGAACGACCGCACGGCGAACAAAACTAATCCTGCATCTGATCTTATGTTGGTATTTTCGTCAGTACCAGTCAGTTGTTCCAAAACATCCAATATCTCACCGAAAATACAGCTTCACCGCTTTAACAACATATCCTCTGGCACTCCAAGCGATGCGTTGAGGTAGAAAAGAATGTGTACAAACGTTCAAGAGTCACGAAGAAAGTTATTGAATTAACTTCAGCATGAACGGCATGAAGACCGGCCAAGTTCAGACTATGCGACAAACTTGGCCTTCGGATTAATTTCGGAAATGCGTTTTTGGACGCCATTGTACTTCCCGCTCATTATCGCAGCATTGTCATACCCTCGGCCTCTACAATCCATAATATCCAATCCGTCTTCCTTCAGCTTATTGAGAATAATTTCTGTGATGTTTTCCGCGTGCATGTCTTTTGAGTCTATAAAATCTATAAATGGCTCCTGAACAGTCACCGAAGTACCTTCAAAAACGACGTACCTCAGAATTTGCGAGGTTTGGTCGATGAGAGAGAGATCAGAAGTAAAAAATTATGGCAAAATACTTTGCTTTCTTCACTTTTACGATGATCTTATTTCTGACATGGCTTGCCAGAAGCCGAATAAACTCTTTTTGAACTTCAGGCGATAGATATGACGTTTGTTTAGGACCTGACCTCACGTTCAGAACATGTTACCTAAGCACTGGATCATCATCTTCTTCTTGCAGGTGTTAATATGGAGATTATAGCTTAAATAGGCTCTTTCTCCGATAGACTTGTGTATGATCGCTATGCGACCGATGAGCCAGCCGTACCTGAACGGCCTAATCGCGCGCGCGGGAAATAATGCCTTCCGGGAAAACTTTTATGGGGAACTGGCATCCTATTCAGTCGTTATTGGCAAGGAGAAAACCCGGAAAACTCCAAGCAGCCAGCCTGTCCGACCGTGGCGCGAACCCACGACGAACCTCCCAGTCTTTAGGGTTTGGTCACCACTACGATGAGCGGCAACGGAGACCACTCGCCCACTGGTGGGAGCAAGCACTGGATCATATTTTGACAACAGCTGCATAAGTTCCAGAAAGTTCCCCTTGTTGTCACTGGTTTCATCTTCTCGGTGGCCTCCTAGTGCAAGGTTTTGTTTGGCAAAAAATCGAATAATATTTAGTATTCTTGTCAGAATTTCCTTCCATTTTACTTGCTGATTCTTGATCAATTGCTGCGTTTGCACGTATATTGTTGCATCTTTTTTGTTCCGAGTTCTGATTACGAGTTCTGATTCCGAGTTCTTTCCATGTCTTGGAGCATTCAACATGGCGTTTGCTCGACTCGTGATTGGAAACCTTTGGGTAAAGTTTCCACTAGCAGCTGAAACCATTGGTCGAACTGAATCCAGATTCAGTGTCCTCATTTTTTTTTCGAATCGAACAACACGCAGCAGAAGCAAAACAGTGCTCTTTTCGCTGGCGATCAAGGATCTCAAAACATTTTTTTCCGTTCGGCATTTTGCGGTAGAACCATTCCTTTGTCAAATCCAATGTCCGTATAAGTTTGTCCAGTTTTGATGGTTTCTTGAGCGGCGCTTTTACATGTCGCATACAACATAGATATGTAAGTAATTCGTAAAAGGCAGTTATAATAATTTCAGTGTCTTGAGTAACGTACAACAAGTGACAACTACTCACCTGTTTTATGTCAGTGTCAGTCAATGCTCATCTAGTTTTCAGATATCCAGTGGGGGGTTGGAAAAAGTTGGCGGAAACCGGGGTCAAGGCAGGGTCAAAGGCGAAAGGCGAATAGTCGTGTTCTGTTAGGAAGGAAATTTTCAAAACCTTTAAATTATCATACTTGAAATTTTAAATGAATGTCAAATGTATACGTCGACAATTAAAATGATTGAATTGAATGGAATCGTACAGTCAACGCCGGATCAGCACTCCCACAAGGTGGTGCTGATGTTTGGTCAACACACGAGTAACAAATAACTACATAAAAATAGTTGCATGGGACAATGGACAAATGTTGTTCGTTAGTTTCTTTTATATTTGCAGAATAGGCTAGATACAAGTCATGAATTTTCTGTTGTTAAGTGATACTGAAATTTGGATGGAAGATTGAGTATGGATGTGGATTAGTGTTACCACCCGTCCGGTTTTTACCCGGACAGTCCGGGAATTGATTCACTGTCCGGATGAACTATTAATTTTGTCCGGGAATATCGTAGAAATTGTGAAATTACGATGAAACAAAGTTCTTGCAAATATTTTTACAAATTTAACTATTTTAACTGCGAAAGAACTCGCACTCACAAACTCATCTACAATTCTGCCATGTTAGTCAGTTTATTCTGACGTGTGGCGCAACCTTTCAAATAGAGCTAAGTTATCTGTACCTGTTCTTTCTTAATTTATGTTACTTACATTACTCCTACGCAAGTCCCTAGTCCCTAACTCTGACTGATTTACAACCGGCATGAACGTTATTCTTCGCATTGTAAAATGACATTGCGCATGCGTCAGGAACTTCTGTTTGAACAAACCTGACCTGCTATCTGGGTCGGCAATTTTGAAAAGGTGGCAATACTAAGCTGGATGTTGATTTTTTTTTATGGATACGGCAATGCAACACATGGGCAATCTGCCTAGGGAGAATGCCTTCCGGGAGGCCTTTTTAAGGGAAACAGGCCCCTATTTAAGTGTTACAGACATGGAGAAAACCCAGAAAACTCCACATGGCCGGCCCGTCTAAGTGAGGCGCAAACCCACGATCGAACTCCCTGTGTTCAAGGAACAAAGACTGCCTGGCCAATGGTGGGCATCCAGCTTGTTCCTTTTCCCTCAGGAGAAGTTGATACTTCTAATTGTAATCCGATTTGTTTTTTCCCCCTCCATTTAAAGTTTTTTCCATTCTTCTCTCTTTATGTGCTGTAGCCACTAAGAAAACTTATTTAATTATATCTATCATGGGTCCAGCCAAGCCAACAATGGTGGCTGCTAAGTGATGAGGGACGGGACCCAATATATCTGGAATGGACTGATTATGAAATTTCCTGGAATTGCTTGTCCAGATTCAATCCTGGGTCCCCTTAGCGATAGGCTGATGTCATCTGGCTGTCTCCTTCTCCTCCTCCTCCTCCTCTTCATCATCATCATCTTCAAAGGAATGAAAAAAAATATGTCTAAATTTGTTGGTTTTATTTTGTTCACCACTTTTTCAAGTTGGTGTTTTTTTTCAAACTGTTCGGAATTTGTTGCTCTGAAAATTGGCAACCTAAGCACCATTTTGTATGTATGGAAATTGACGGTAAGACAATTGTAAAAATTGTATATTCATTTAATTCTTGTAATACCTATGTGGATATTTATCGTAAGAGTTGATTCAGATTATTGTTTCCAGAGCCAGAACAATGATGACATTCTCTTCTGTTATTATTTATCAATCAATCTTTTTCTAGATCTTATCTTCAGCTGAAATTTCTTCTTAATTGGAGATAGATTGGCTGAAAGTAAGATCAACTATCTATTAGCTTCAAGAATAAATTAATCTAATTCTATAAAACAGGAGCTTCCATTTTTATGAAATGTATTAGAAATTTTTTTTTATAAAATTTTAAAATATTCACTTTAGAGATCATCATCTTTTCAAAATGTTTTAAAATTAATTATTAAATGTACTGGTCTAATTTGTTTTGAAGTATATAATTGTAATTTTATTACATCATTCATGTTTGATGTTAATTTTTAGCATTAAAATAGGCCTGTAGTTTTTTAATATGATTGCCAAATGTTTTAAGTCTATTAATATTATTACAATAACATGTAAAAAGATAACGTTTTATTAATCCATCTTCATTAGTGTCAGTGTCAATTTATTAATCTAGCTAACATTGAACATACAAACATTTTGATTAAACAAAGTAATTATTATCTTATAAAAGTATGATGGTTTCTAAAGGAAAATCCACTCTATGAAATACTGGTAAAGAAAAAGACAGATGCAATTTAATCACAGAATAGAAAATAAGATCATTATAATTTGTTTTTTATTGTAAATTATGAAGTTATGAATCAACAGTCAAAAAGATTGTCACATAATTCAATGAATAGATGCAATTTCTATATTATTGGATTTTGCAATTAGTAGAACTGGTGCAAAGAGTAAAGAGAATCTTTAATCAAAACATAAATTCTGCTGATCTTTTTGTTTACAACTGGAATAGAGTAGTTAATACTTGCCATTTGTTTATCTGGTTAACATTATGACTCATAAATTGGATACTTTATTCATAATTGTTCTTATCTATTTTAATCATTCTTCATTAAAACAATTGCTAGATAAAAATATATAAAGCTATAATTATAACTGATTCTGTTTCAAATTTAAAATTTTCTTACCAATTAATTAAAGATGTAATCATAACAGAAAAATAATCAAGATTCTAGATTATTTTGCATACATCCATCATTATTACAAGTGTAAAATGTAATTAAATAAATTTTGTGTAATGATATTTCTCAGGAAGCTGAAATGTTATATGAACAAAAATCAATTATACAATTTATAAATAATTCATAAAATCTTTGTCCTGATTACATTATAAATATCCATTTCACATTATTTTTAAAGCATATGTGATATAATTTTTTTCAGGATTCTTTATCTAAATTTTGTACTATTTTTTTTTTAAATAAAACATTTATTATTAATTCTGTAGTATAGTTTTACTGTTAAATAACTAGATGTAGTTTGTAATGTTCTGAAAGCTTTTATGACTTTCGTATTTAAAAAACCGTACTTGTATTAAATTAAAATTTAAGTCTTGCATAAAAATAATAAATATGTTTCATGTTCCAGTTGTCAAAATTATTTAATGCTGGATCTGTACAAACTGAGAACTTAACAGTTTTGAGCATTAAGTAAGTCAGTTTAAATTTTGATTATTTAATTAATAGTATTAACTAATTATGTATATATGTAGGGGAGACCATTCTATATCTAGACACTTTTTGGTTTACAATCATTTGTTATGAATTAAGGCTAATAGAGAACAAACTTAATTATACTCAGTCACAGCACTGTCCATTGTACAACTTTTGAAGCTGCTACTTCATTAATATCAAAAATGGATTTTCCGAAAAAACTTTTCAAAAATGGCACATCATCCAATTGTGAAAGAGGGTGCTATATGACCAGACAGTGGCATTCTACCTTTGGACATAAAGATTTCGAGCCAAAATTTATTTAAGAGCATAAGCTACACATGCCAATAATAAATATCTATGAAAAATTTTTCCTTGCAAGACATGTGACAAGAAGTTTGTCATCAGATGCAAATTCATCCTGTATATCTATTCAGGCAATACTTTGTCAATGGCATTTTGAAGATCTGTACCCACCTAGAAAACGTATTAATAAAGCCAGATTTGTATGCAAGTGCTTGTTTTTCTCATCAAATGTTATGTCAAAACCTCTACAGAAACACAATTTGGGTGTAAGTCGATCATATTAAGGTCATCCAATGATACACATTTTGTATGCATTTATGAGATTTTACTACATATTTGATAGATTTGACCATTTTCAGGACAAAAGTGTTTTATAAACTTTATGGCTTGTGTGAATGATTGCAAGTGCTATTTTTTTCAATTAAGCTATAATCTTTTTCTGTTATCTGTGCAGTGAATCTTTTTTGTGCATTTACAGTTCCTGTCAGAAATAACACTCTGCAATTTAATTACAAATGACTGCAAAATTAAAATGTTTTAAATTTAAATATCTAATTCACATTCTTTAAACACAATCATCTTCAAATAACTTGTAAACAACTGTATATATATAGAAATAAGTTTAATAATGATCAATTAGATAGTGTAGAAAGTCATAAAATTTCATTGAACATGTAATTTTATTCATAATTTATTTGATTGTGCACATCTTACCTGAAATATTATTCTAATATGTATTTTGTCCCTATGTGTCAGTTATTGTTGCATGTTTATTCCCTCCCACATAAACAGTGTGACGTAATAGATATTAGTAAGATTAAGTAAAATATAAATACATTTCAACCTAAAAATTTTAGCATATATCACCGGTGCTTTTAACAGGCAATAATGTGCATATAACAGTGCACATATCTGACACTTTTACCTGCATATATATACAAATATATTGCATTTTTAAATTTATATAAATCAATCCTGTACTTCTTAATGATGTAAATATATCTCTTAATTAAAAATGATTGTTTTAAAATATTCAATGTTGATGCAAGCCTGTTGAAATATAAACAAAATTCATGTCAGTGGATGCATTTGCTAGTGGAATTGTATGTATTGTCTGGTTGTGGAAATGGAATGTGTTTTTTGATGTATAATAGTGACTCTTGATTTGACAACAATATAACAGGGATCTGCACACACCCAATAGACTTATTTCTTCAAAGGTTGATTGCTGCAAAACATGCTGACTGAGCATCTTACAAGTATTGCCTGAAAAAATTAAATAAAATTCATGAAATTGGTTATTTACCATTTTCTATGTCCACATGGTTATCCCCATCTTGCTGAAATTCATGCTGCAGATTCAGTACATGGATGCCACTTAGCAGTAAACTCAGGATTTCTTTATGAGTTATACATTGCAAAGTATAAATTGCCCATGGTGGAACTGTCCATACATGGAATAATCTCCCCTACATTTAAAAAATATATATATCTATTTTTTAAAACTATATATTAATAATTTATTAAATTTTATTAGTTTTAATCATGAGAATATATGACATTAGATCATTTGATATTGTTATTGCAGTTTAAACTTTAAATTATAATTTCTGTAATTCATTTTTTTGAAATTCTATATGATAATACTTTTGTTGTAATAAAAGTAAAATTATTTGATATTTTGATGCTTTTCATTTCATATAATTGAGTTATTACATGATTAATGTAGTCTATACAGTTCCACAAATTTGTAATGTATTATTGCTTGTATTTTGGAATATAAAAGTTCAGAAACATTACACGTATAATCAATAGCCAGAAGAAAAAAAAATAGAAGAAAGCAAAAGTTTTCATTCATATTGAATGAGCATTGTCATGCTGATGATGCCTGTTCAATACGGGTGAAAATTTTTGCTTTCTTCTGTTTTTTTTTTTTTTTTGTTTTGCTAGATATTGGTTATATGTGTAATGTTTATTTATGTATACCCAGTTTGATAAGTTAATTAAAGAAAAGTTCAAATTTCTGTGTCTAATTCTTCAGTTTATAATTCTTTAAATTTTAATTATTTTTAGCTTTATAATTTTTGATTTTAGAATCCTATTCAGTGTTAGTTCTGTAATGGTTTTCCTAAATACTGATGTTGCATCTTTCCTGATATGAGACTGGAGAAAAATGAATATGGGAGAGGCATAATAGATGTTTATTGGTAAAGTTGGCAACTTTATTCCTAACATCTCCTATGGCTTCTTGTATATTTATGACTGTTACTGCTTTATTTATGTATTGTTTATTCACTTCTCTTCTTTTCTGTTGTATGGAGTAAATAGAAAGAGATCTTTATACATAGACTATGTTGTCTATACTTGATATTAAGGATTGTTTTTGTTATGTTTAGTGTCATTTCTTTATCTTTATAACTGTTGATATTTGTTCAGAACCATTATAATCAATGATATAACTGTCTTATATGTGACTTTCTGCTCATAGCTATTCATTATACTTGAAGAAAATGCAGAAGATTATTACTGCATGTTACATAAACTAATAAGTGAATTTGAATGAAGAATTGAAAATTAAGTTTTATGATAATTTATCATAAATAAAAACATTTTTATTTAATAAATCATAACTGTAATAAATTAAATACAAGAACTTAATTTAATTACATTTATATTTATAATTTAATTTTAAAATATTATTTATGATTTGATATTTTAATTTGTATTTTAATGTTTATCAATGCATTTCAGAATTGAAAGATTTTAACTCATTTTAAAAATTTAAAACACTTGTTAAAAAGTTGATTTGTGAATTATAACAAATATACAGTACTTTATAATAAAATTCAAACTTTATATTAATGATAGTCTACATAACAACAGTCATTATATTTTTATTGCAAGTAAAAAATTTAAACTTGAAAAGTAAATTATTTAAATTTGATTATCTTGCAATTACAAACCTAATATGTTAATGCTGTTTCTATTTAGTTTAACATTAAAAAATTTTGATAAATAATTTGAAATATAATCAAGAGAATTATATATAATTTGACAATAAAAGTATTCTAATTTAATTGTAATCTTCACTAAGAAATTAAATTAATTGTATACCAGGGAATCAAATCACCTCTTGTTGAATTTTGTACATTTGTATATAATAAACGATAAGAAAAATTCGGCTATACAGGTATACCTCGCCTTACGTCAGTAATTGGTTCCAGGAAAACGACTTAAGTCGAAAAACGACATAAGTCGAATTTACTTGTCTCCGAATCTACTTGTCACTAGGCTAAACTATAAATTACTATTCCCAGTTCTGTATTTTATTTATTAATGCATTTTTAATAATATATGGTTAATAAGAATCTATTTTAAGCTTACAAACAAATAAATTTATGAATGCATGTACTGTACTGTAAATACAGTACATACTTGTAAATGTGTATATTTTAATATGATTTTATGTGCTTTAAACGCTTTTCTAGTGATATTACAACTTCAATATTTGTGGCGGACGGACGTAAAGTCGAATAAAATGACTTAAACTTGATTTTTATTTTTTCGTATACTTTTTTGACAAACGACGTATAATCGGGAACGACGTAAGTCGAGGTATACCTGTATTGGAGTTCATTCTAATAACAGTTTTTCTCAAGCGCTTGCTTGAACTGTTTGAGAAAAATTATTATTAGTGTGAACTCCAATATATCATAATTTTTGTTATTGTTATATTTTTAAGAACTTTGAGTTGTTTCTCGATATATAATAAATGTACAACAACTTAACCATAATTATGATATATCTTTGACATGTTCATGCATTTATTTTTTGTTACTTTATTTACATACAATTATTCTGTATATTATTTAAAACTTTTCAATTATTATTATCAGATCTAAGAAAACAAGTTAATGTAATGCTAAAAGCTAATTAGTAAATACCCTTGCAATGAAACTGATGATTTGTGTTGTGATTATGGAACAAAAACAAATTTTATATATCAATTATATGCCTTTATGTCCTTATCTAATGTTTATTACGTAATTTGTCTACAAGGACTTATTTTATTATTAGGACTTATTTTACTGGTGACATGGTTCTGCAATTTAAGAAAACATATCAGAAAAAAAAACTCTTTATTTTTCACCTGTCAGACTGCTTTTTCTGATATGGTTTATTAAATTGCAGAACCATGTCACCAGTGTAATAAGTCTTAGTAATAAAATAAGTCCTTGTAGACAAATTATGTAATAAATTTTATATATTTTAACAGATTAATTTCCTTTCTTTTAACAGTAATATTTAATAATTGAAGACATGAGTGGATGAAGATGTTTTGATATAATCATTCAAAAAATAATTGTTTTGTATGAATTAAGGTGTATTGTATCAAAATATGTGCCTCACATACTTCCATCAAAAATCTCAGAAATTAAAATTAAATTTTAATGTAATACTGCCTACAATACACTATTTTGTGGATATATTTACACTTAAATAATTGTGTAGTAAAAACTTGAACATGAATTCACTCAAAACTTAGAAAACCTTCATCACACATGTCTTTAATTATTTTATATGTACAGTACTGTACAGTACATCAACAAAACTCCACACATTTATTTCTTAATTTTTTCAAAGATCTTAAACATAGTATACAAATAAAAAAAAACTAAAACTTAAATTAA